TTTAACATTTTAGCTTATATTAAAGGCCCCTAAGATATAGGAAGCTGGAAATTGCCTTGCATATAATCCTAACAATTGAACAACGCCTAAAATAGTCGGATCTAAGATTATGGACTGTAAAAGAGTAAATTGTTTTACATTTTTTTACATTTCAGCCAGTTTTGATGTCCTCTAAAAACCAATGAAATTAATAATTGTCAATCATATTATACTGACGTTGGAGCTTTGCTTAAAACATTTAGAATTACAATTTTTGCACTATGAACGGAGAATTGGTAATGAATATAAACCATACAAACAGTTTGAAAAAAATTCAATAAGTTTGTGCAAAAATCAAAATTTTTTTAATTTTTGTACAAACAAACCGCAAGCATTTGTATAGACACGAAACACCCTCATACACTACACAACAGGCTTGCACAAACGTTAAATATTGGTATGTTTGTCAAGCCGCTTGTGTAGTACATTTGGCCCTTAATTTAGAACGCCCTCAATGACCTAGAAATATTAAAATTGACATGCATGTTGTACGGACAAAGGAGAAAGTAAACACTGAACTGGATTTTTGATATCCACTGTTAGGGCGGAGAGGTAAAAGAAAAAAGGGACCTGGTAAGTGAATGGAGATTATACTTATTACTCTTTGTTTAAACATCCAGACTATCGAAAATTTCAATAGTCACAGGTTATAATTATGAATATAATTTAAAAAGAAAATATTGTGGACATAACCTATAAATTCAGGGAACAAAATTTCATTGAAATCAGACTATGGCTTCTACAGCGCTAATATAATAAACCATGTATGTATATCATAATGTGTTTACTCCTTTGAAAATTTAAAAATGGCTACAAAATATTTAAAAGTGAAGTTTGATCTGAATTAAATTTGGTGGGAATATTACTCTAAATATGTAGATTTAACCTTCATATTTGCACCATGGGCCATAAAACAAAAAATATTAAACAAAATTTCAACTTAAAAATGTTTGTACTATTTCGTTAGTTAATTATTAAGTTTATTTGTATTATATTTTCATCCCAATAAGCAAAAACCTTTGAAATGATGTAAATATATATTTGAAAACACATTTAAATATCATACCGACAGCCAGAAGGCAATTAGGGCGATATCAGGTGATAGAATTAAATCTAAGACCGTATTGGATTGTAAGAAAGCTTTAACTGAATACTCTCCCAAAGGTAAGGTTCACATCATATGGGTACCAGGCCACTCTGGAGTAGTCGGCATCGAATGGGCGAATGTAATAGCTTTAAAGGGAAGGGAGCTCGATGTAGTTAACCTGACAAACGCAAAACCATTCGACACAACAAAAGCTGAATTAAAAATATGGATGAGAGAATCCCATAAGGCCTCTTGGAATAATGAAACGGTGGGTAGAACCACAAAGATTCTATGGGGTGACCCTGATGAGAGCAAGACGAGAAATCTCCTCAAAATGAGCAAGTCCGAGGTTAGTATGATGGGCACAGGATTACGTGCACATCTATACAAAATTGTACGTGCGGATTCAGACGAATGTAGAGCATGTGGAGAGGACAGTGAAACTCTGGAGCACTTTCTTTGCCATTGCCAGGCATTCGTCGAAGTTAGATCCAAGTATCTTGGAAGTGATGTTATTCCGGAAATAACATACCTGACTAACACTGATTGGAAGATTCTTAGGAATTACGTTCAGGAAACTGAGTTTCTGAACACTGAAAAATAATTCTTTCAGTTTTTTTTCATGATAAGGAGCGCACAACAGGCCCGACAGTGGCCTAGGTGTATTTCTTCGGATTTGATGCCTTTGAGAACAAATTTGAAAATTTTTGTTTTCAAATGGAAAATTCGTGGCATCTCAAACAAAAAGGCAGTTAGAAATCAAACTTATTTTTCAAATGTATTTCAAATTTAAAAAAGGCTAGAGATTGAAATTGAAAAAATTTTCAAACGTATTTCAAGTATTCTTTATTAGTATTTTCATGCATTTTTCAAACTCTGATTCTAATGCTAACTATAGCAAACTTCATACATATATTTTTCTACATCACCTGAAAACAAGACATTCATACATTCATTTTATCATATTCTTCAATTATATCTTCCATTATTTCTCCTATATTTTGCGTTTTTTCGCTTCCTTGCTGTAGAAAAATTGTTGTGTTTTTATTTTTCTAAAATAATTTATTTATTGAAAGAAAATTTTCTAAGTTCAATTGAAACAGAACTGTGAAAATTTTATAAATATCACACATTATATTTTATTAAACGTTTTTTGAAATTATCATGTTTATTACAAAGGCTACACTTTTTAATTTGAAAGCAATTTGAAAAATACATTATTTAGAGCGGGATTTTGAGATGGTAATCAAATGCCAATTAATAATCAGATTCGTTAATCTAAAAATAAATTTAATCTTATGTTAATCCCTTTTGATGTTTTTCAGTACAAGATTAAACTTCGCAGTGTTGCCATACAAAACAACAGAAAACTTTACTGTTTGTTATCAAAACAATGCATATTTTATAAAAAAAGAAGACAATTGTAAATTCAATATGAAAATAAATGAAAACTTAAATTGAAAACAAAAAAATGTATTTTGAAGTGTCCATAATTTATACTAATCAATAAATAGAACATTTTAATGTTTATATTTATAAAAATTTTATTAATTTTTTTGCATCAGCTGTTTACACTTTTGCATTTCGTGCTTAAGATTAAACCACCTCCGTTGGGCGCTTAAACTTGCAAACAAAATTAACTAATTGAGTACTCAAAAACATCTTTCGAGGATTAATTTTAATTTAATCGCTAATCTTTCACCTAAAGATTGATATTTATTATCCTTTGATTTTGTAAATACATATTATTTTTATTTGACATGTGTTAAAAAAAATAAATTTTTAAAATTATTAGAATGTAACTTTCAAACATTTTGCATAAAAAGACGATGTTTTTAAACATGTCCTTTCAAAACAGAGTATAAATAGGAAATTACAATTTATATCTTGTGTAAGTACGTCTATTAAATTTAAAATTGCAATAAGTTTAATATTTGTTTTGTCGTACGGCAATTTTTTTAAAAACGAAATGGCGATACCTGAATGGAATTTTTGGACATATATATGTAATATAATCCATGATATCAACGTTCGTGATACGGATGGAACCGGAATTTGTTCAAACTTTCATATTGAATTGTTAGCTAAATGCAATTTTATTAAACAAAAGAGCAATACCTCCATTTATGGCGACTTTTTGTGAATATTTGAACTAGTTATAAAATGGTTCTAAAGAACCCAATTGTGTCCAAGTTTTCTAGTATAAATCTAGAACTAATGGTACTAGTAATTTTTCAAACATACTCAATGTTAATTTGAGTATTAAGATGGTATAGAAAAGTTTACAGTAGGGAACTAGTACTGGTGATTTTAGTAGTAAAATACTAGTTTCATTTCCTGCAAGGATAATACAAACAGACGACTTTTTCATTGCAACTGTCGAAATTACCTTTATCATTAAAATTCCTACTTTTACATTTAGAAACGATTGCCAACCTTTAAAATAATATTCCCATAACACAGGCCAACGATGAAAAAACTTGTTAAATCATTTTTACTAATCCCCGTGTGCTGATTCCGAATGTTTAATTAAAATATTCGTATCACCCACCAATTTTCCACATTTTCATCTTTTAGTCCTTCTGACTGTATACTTGAGCATCAAATATAAAAGTCTGTAATTTTATAGAAGTTGCGAATAGTGGCAGTCTCTGCCTCTAGACTTATACTTAAAGTTATAGAAATGCATTCACACAAGATATAAAACACAAATACATATTGTAAAAGTTATTACAAATTCCTCAGATCACTTAGTGCCACAAAACACTTAAATGAGAAATATTTGAAAAAATCAACAAATTTTGGGAAATGTTCTAATGGAACCAGTGATTACGTTAAATATATTCGTATTAATATCAATGTGAATTTTTATCCTCATTAATTATCGTAAAACGGTATTTGGGGTATAGTCATAAATGGGAAATCCTTCAGAGGGCAGTTTCAAAAATATAGTTTCAGAATTTTAACAACTTTGTTAAACAAATTTTAAAATTTTAAGAAAATTTGACTTATGGACAATAAGGAAGGAAATCAAATAGTAAAGAAATTAGGTCGATACCTCTCACATATTAGTTGTACCTCAAAATTTGACTTTTGAGGATTTCAAAGAAAACAATTTTTTGAAAAACAGGCTTTATTCTTCACTATTATGCATTTTAAAACAAATTTTGAAAGAATATATAATTCAAGGCAATAGGAAACATACATCAGATTCTGATGGTTTAGTAAAATCGAATAATGTTAACCCATAAACTGTGAAGGTTGACCATCAAGTCATTTTCTGAAGCGGACTTAGTATAGGGGATAAATCCAAATGAAGCCCGATATATAAAACTAAGTTTTATCGATTTTTTGAGTGATACAAGGACATTTAACATATTTATGAGCTCAAATGAGCCCCCTATTCGGGGGGTACGGTTGTATGGGGGATATATGAAATAATGGACCGATTTTAACCATTTTCAATAGGCTTCATCCTTGATAGGCTTCATCCTTAGATCTAAGTATCTTGAAAATTGCGACCTGTAGAGTGCGCACAAGGTTTACATGGACACACACACGGACATAGCTAAATCGACCAGAATGTGATTCTGAGCCGATTGTTATACTTTAAGGTGGGTGTAGGACCAATATTTTTTGGTGTTACAAACATCAGCACAAACGCATAAAACCCTCCCCACTATAGTGGTATAGGGTATAAATAGTCCAATTGGTTTCAATAGGTTTTACAAACCATAATTTCGTTTTCCTGTGCAATTGTTAATAATTGAAAATTTATTTAGAAAATTGCTTTGGTTGATTTTATTTTCTGATCTTTTGTTTTTGTGTGTTTATTAAGTCTTAGAGTAAATGTGCTAAATAGTATAAATCATAATTAAAATATGTGTGTACTCACTAATATTTTATTTTTTTAATTAAATTTTACATTATAAATTCATGTTGCCGAACATCGTCCTAAATATTGAGGTTTATAAGAAAGTATTATTCTTGCTATATTTCTTTCATTTTTGTTTCTTTAATGTCTCAAACCTTAAACAATTAATTTATTTTGTACCTCCTCGATTAAACCAATCAGTACAAATAAAACCTAAATGCATTTTCACAGTAAATAATTATAATATCATTAATTAGTTATAAGATTCAAATTTTAAAGGCTCCACTTAAAATTAATTATACAGATATATAGAGATAGTTTGTTAGTTCATTAATACATTTTCCATTGATATTAAGAACTGTAATCTGTTTAAAAAATGTGATTATGTTTAATATTATTTTAAATTATAATTACAATTAAGGCTAATTAATTCTTTTTAATCTTCCAATTACATATACAATAATCAAAATAAAAAATTAAATTGAACAACATAATACAATATCGTCATCTGAAATGCAAAAAGGCGTAACAACCAACAAATTTTAAAATCGACTTTTTCATTGAAAATGTAAACTTTATTGTCAAAAACACCAATTTTATTAACATAAAATTCAAAATGCTTTTAGAAAGTCCTAAAAAGCAACACAATAATGTTATAAATTTATATTGAAACATGTTTATTGATATACAAAGAGACATTTTTATAACAACAATAGGGAGAATCCATGTGAAAGCGGACAGCAGTCGGATTTACCATCTCCGATTTTAATGAAACTTACCACACATATAATATACATAATATGTTCAACATATCATTGACTTTTGATTTGAAAATTGAAAAATATGTTAAAATTTTATAAAAGTACATACACGTGATTTCATAAAATTTCATAAAAGTACATTTACATTTTGCCCATAACTCTGAAACTACTTAAAGTCCAACATTTTTTATTTCATATTAAAGCCTTTAAAATCGCGTGAATAGAATATTTTGCTTCCAAAAGGTTAAAGGTCAACTTTCATAGTGTATATTTCAATGTCAAATAGGTCAGACAGCCCCGTGTTAAAAATTATAAAAATACATGGTATGAGGATACCTAAACTCTCTTCTCCATTTTAGTGAATTTTTTCAATGGAGACTCGTGTAATTCAGGTATTATTAACCCACTATAAGCAAGTTTTTTATACAAAATCATATGAAAAATTAAACAAACAGAAAAAATACACAGTGTAATCAATTTCAATTTATATGTATATATGTATATGTATATACTTTCGGACAATTTTAACATATTTTTAAAATTTCAAAGCGCGATATTTTTGTATTGAAACGGAATCCCGATCAAAAAGTCATTGATTAGATGAACACTTTTAATATGTGTTGGAAATTTTATTAAAATCGGAGATGGTAAATCCGAAAATTGCTATTTTCTGTTCGTTTTGATATGGATTCTCCCAATAGTTTTAATTTTATTTAGTTTTTTGTCTCTTCTGTAAAATTTTGAATTTCAGGTGACGATATATGCATGTATAAATGAATTAGAATCAAGAAGGGAATTACGATGAAACTATACATAAACAAAATATGTAAATTAAATAAAAATAAATAAATAAATATTATCAAGAGTATATTTTACAGCACAATAGAATATTAAATGCAAAAGGAAAATTATAAGGATTTCTGCTTGCAAAAGAAATTCTACTTAAAATAATAACAATTACTTTTTAATGAGAAAATGTTAATAATAAAAAATAGATATTATATTTATATTTTTTTCTTCTACATTTAAATTTCATTTAAACATCATGACTCAGTAGGGGAGTATCATAGTAACGCAGAGTAGAGGAGGACGATGAAAAACTTGTACAAGGCAACAGCCAACAAGCGGGATGACCTCTACCAAAGACATCAGCTAATAAATAAAATTTACGTCTATTTGGTCGATATGAACCCTTTTGTTGAGCCTGTTCTACGGCGGTTTCATCGTGTAATATGGCGTGCATTTGATCTACCATTATCGCTAAAACGAATAAACCAAATAAAGCCGATTCCAAAAGCAATATAACACTGTGTAATCTAAAAAATAATAGAAATATAGATAAAAATAAATACTTATATTATTAATTTTTGATAAATCTATTTATTTAGGTATATAAAATGAATTTGTGTTTTGTGGACCGATTTTATTGACATTTTCACAGAATCTTCCAGTATGTCTAGAAGGAATTATATGGTACTTTTTATTTCAAAATTTTAAGAAGGCGATATTATGCCACGCACAACTACAACAGCTAATTTTATTTGGACAATTTTGATATCCATAAGAACATTCAGGGACAAAATGGTTGGACAGGCTATAGTGGGCGCGGCACCTCCTATATAAATCAGTATATCTGCGGAAATATAATAGTTAAAATCTTGAAATCTTGTCGGAGCCACTTTAGTATATTTGTGAATTTATGACAAAATTGGCAGACTAAAAAAATCTCAAATTTTTTATTTATACCTATTTTTTAAGTAGAAATTTGTAACCGATTATGGTCAGTAGGCTAGATTTATTTTGGAAATAAAGTAAAAATGTATATTTGTATATTTGAAGTTTATGGACTACTAAACGGCTGAACCGATTTTCTTGAAACTTTCACAGTGTATACCTGTATGTCTGGAAGAGGTTATAGGCTACTTTTTATTTTAAAATTTGAAGTGGACGAGGAGCCACGCCCCTATTAAGAAAATATTAAATCAGTATATGTGAGATAATATAACAGTTATAGTCCTCAAATTCTGTAGGAGCCACTTTAGTGTCAATATGATTATTTATGACAAAAAGTAGGTGGAATATCAGCAGAGGGCGTGGCACCTCCCATATAAATTAAATAGAAACATTATTTTTTCTTGGAAACTATTAAAATTAGAATCTTAAAATTTTGCACGAAGAACTTTAACATCCATGTAAACATTTTGGGTTATAAATTGGCGGACTACCAACGAGGGAGCGATACCTGCCATATGAATTAAATACAAAAATTCGTTTATTTTGTAAACAAAATTCTTCAAATTTTGCACGAAGAACTTTAATATGCATCTGAACATTTTGTAAAAAAAAAACTGTGCGGATAGAAATAGATGAAATGAAAATTTTGAGAATAAGGGGTGCACTTTCAATGGGGGCTTGTCACCTCCCATATTAATTAAATACAAAATTTCGTTTATCTGGGAACATAATAGAACTAGATTCTTCAAATTTTGCACGAAGAACTTTTATATTCATCAGAACATTTTGGAGAAAAAATTCATATGGAACCCCCATATGAATTAAATAGAAAAAATTGTATATCTGAGAAACTATTAGGACAAAAATCTTCAAATTTTACATGAAGAATTTTGACATTCATCTATACATGAAGAACTTTGTCATTCATGTGAACAATTAGAGAATAACGGGCGGACTTTCAATGGGGAGCTTGGCACCTCCCATATGAATTAAATACAAAATTTCGTATATCTGGTAAACTATTAGATTATTAAAATTTTTTATTAGATTACATTAAAATCTTAATTAACGTTCGGGAAAATTGGCGAACTTGCAATAATTAAATAAAAAACTATTGTAGATAGGGTCTTCAAGTGATTTTTTATTTATATTGCTTTTAGGGTAGCAAAGCACACTGGGTATAGCTAGTTTTGTAAATAAAATTAAATTAAATCGAACTGAAAATATTTAATTTGCAACAATATCATTCTAAGTTTGATACTACATTGATTACATATAAGCGATTCCATGAAAAGGTAATTCGCGACTAACAAAATAAAAACCTTTAAAATTTTCACATTTTTGAAAATAATTCAACAAAATTTGTGTATGACTTCGTCTTTGGTGCAACAAACCATACAACCAGACCTGAAAAACTAGTTTTAAAGCTCATAATTATGTTAATTTTAATACTATCCATTCTAAAATCATACTGCCGATTTCCATAATGACGGACCACATTTGTCCCTAGAAGCCATACAGTGTTTAATTTATATAAAAAAAAACACAAAAAAACGTATAAACATAAACCGCATACATATTTTACCCTAATCGGTAATTACTTAAACATCTCTGACTGCTCTTTTTACTTCTTTTTATTTGTTTAAATGTTGAAAAAAATTGCAACGTTATGTTCATTAAAATGAACTAAAATATATTTTATTCAAAAAATTAGGGATTATGAAGCAGAAGTACGTCCTTAGTAAAAGGGATTAAAAAGAAGCTCCTACACAAAACGCGGATTTTCGTATATTTTTACATGAACTTCAAAAACACTCATTCTAATTCATTCTAAAATTTATTTATTTCTTATTTTTCCATATACTGTAAGCGTCAAAAGAAAGTGTACACCAATTTCAGTTCTACAAAAGTCTTTGTTATAGTACAGTTATTGATAAAAATTAAAATGTTTTATTGCAGTTTAGAAGGCTTATATAATACGAATATAACTGTGAACAAACAGCTACCCAAAGTGAAACACAGGCTTAGATTATAAATGTTTTCTAAAAATAATGTTGTTTTTACGCGTCATAAAAAAGTGAGCAATGCATTGTTCTTTCGTTCTTTGAATGTATCGGGGAAATGCTTAAATTTCTTCGACTTAGGCAAGCTACCGAATGGAGTAATTATGTTATTTTGCAGCTTTATTCGGATTTTGGTAAAAATAAGTTCAAATATATAAAATTTAAATAATGTATAAATAGACTCCCCCGTACCGTGAAATATCGTTTCCAATTTAAATAAAAAAATCAATATTGAATATGAAATGTGACGAATTGTCAGAAATAGTCAGGGAACAATTAAAAACTATTGAAAAATTGTATATGACATCATACGGTTGGGAATATTCGTTAACCAGGACTTCTAAAATGGCTTACTAACGCTAAAGAACTGCAAAAATCATGAGGACCGAAGCCCAATTCCCTGAAAATTGTTGTGGAATTATCGAAAAATATAACAGTTACACCAGGGAATCTAGTGGATATGAGTTCAATTCAAAGACCACTTTAATAAACACTCTGCATACCAGAAAGCCTCTTATATTAATTAACAAAACTGGATAAATTTTACAAAAGTGGGTCAAAACTCTGATCATTACTTCGGGATATACATATATTTTATAACAAGAAAAGCAATAGAAAAAATTTGGACCATTTACGGTTTTATCAATAATTATACTGCAACACAAGTTTTTATGCAAATAAAATAGCTGTACATTTTCTTTTAACGCTCGCTGTAATAAACTCCTCTCGATCTGATGTCACCAATTTAATTTTGTTCAGTAATAATTACAGTAGGACCTTGATTATCCATGATTCGATTATCCGGCAACATCGATTATCCGGGATGGAAAAATTAATTTTTTTTTAAAAAACTTAAATTTTTCTTCATCGGTTAACCGTGATTACCCCTAATCCGTAATTATAAGCAAAATTCTATTATTTTTTAACGTTTATTATATGTTTTTTATATTTTTAAAACATGTATGTAAATAAAATCCTTTATTTAGCTTTTGTATAAATATGTACCTTTATTAATAAACAAAAATATTAAAAAACTTGCCAAAATTGGTACCAATTAACCGGGAAAATCGATTATACAGAATGCTTCCGGTCCCGACCATCACGGAAAATCAAGTTCCCACTGTAATTCTCATAAATCACGCAATAAATTACATTGTTATTGTAAAAAATTTGGTTTTAAACAAAATAATCGTAAAAAAATAATATTCTTTCGATTCAATTGCGTTACGGTCACTGTTTTAAAGAACAGTGATTTACAAATCACGTTCACTAAGAACAACGCTCAGTGATATAGAAAAAAATGAGGGATATAATTCTGTAAATTATGTATAGAGCAAACCTGGGATAAATGCATTAAATGTGTTAATGCATTAATAATTTTTTCAACATTAAAAAAAATTAATGTTAATGCAAGTTTATTGCATTAACATTAACAAGTTTAATGCGTTAGATTTGCATTAGCATTAAATATTTTTAAATTTAATGCATTAATTTTACATTCAACATTAAATATTTTTGAAACTAATGCATTAATTTTGCATTAACATTAAATATTTGTGAATTTAATGCATTAATTTTCCATTAACATTAAGTAATAAGTAATAAAATTAATGCATTAATTTTCCATTAACATTAATGTATAAAATAATTTATAAAAATAAAAATACTGAGCTGAAGACCTCGATCTAACTAAATTCAAGTAAAATTGAATGTGTTAAAGTCCTTTCTAATAAGTCCCATACTCGATAATACATATCAGAAGAATAGTATCACTTCCCAGGTATTCCTTTTTTAGTTTATTTTGTCACACTGTGGAATCGTATATAAATATCATATTTAAAGCACACAAGTTTGAATGGAATATAGGGGTTATTAGAAAGGACTTTAACCTATTTAATTTTATTTGTATTTAGTTAGATCGAGGTCTTTTGTGCTGTATTTTTATTTATGTTTATCAATTTTTATATATATTAATGTTAATGGAAAATTAATGCATTAATTTTATTACTTATTTAATGTTAATGTGAAATTAATGCACTAATATTTAATGTTAACGCAATTAATGCATTAATTTCAAAAATATTTAATGTTAATGTAAAATTAATGCATTAAATTCAAAAATATTAATGTTAATGCAAATTTAATGTTAATGCAATGATTTTACATATTTTTTTTTTTAAATTTAATGTTAATGCAAAATTAATGGAAAAGGTGCTGTCGAGGAGGAACTTGGACCTCGTGGGTCCATCGGGGGTGTATACAATATTTAAAATAATTTTTTCGTTTGTGGTACAATTTCAAAAAAATTATTTTATATGAAATCTGCTCGATGAGTACTATAAACCTCGTCTCGTCGCAGCTATAAATTATTTCTTATTGCTTAGGATATATTCGCATTTGAAAATATAATTTTTAACTTTTTACCCACTCTAATCCAGTTTTTTGCTAACTGTGGGTTCAAATATTTCCCGATTTTCCCCAATTTTCTTTTGTTCAATTAAAAAAGTATATATAACTTT